AGCCATCTTGCATGACCTGCTCGTGCCTCTCAAAGGCCTCACCACTCCACCTCTAGCAGGAAAAAAGAAAGGACTCACGCTTTCCGCTTCCTGCCTCCCTGGCGCAGCCGCAGAAAATTCAAACGCCATGTCCGAATCCTGGAACGCTGCACAGGGGTAAAGGAGACTTGGGCCAGCTGAAAAATGCCCTCATCGATGTACTGCTTTGCGGTCTTGTTGCAAGACCAACGACCACGGGCCACAGTGGCATCCAGACTCAAGGAGGACTGAAAGAACCATGTAGCCCCTCCTCTGCGCAAACTGTACGGGGTGTAGTCATCTTCAGCAAAGCCCAGGCGCCGAAGTAGCGGCGAACAGTTGGCGAAACCGATGCGCCCCGCCAGGCCACAACAAAGACCTCTCGCCCGGACGACGCAGTGAAGTGGCATAACCAATCAACTCAGCATCCAGCACCAACAGGACTTGTGGATTGCCTTGCGACGTCTTGCTGCCCGGGATGATGAGGCTCATGCCCTTGCCATGACGATGGGGGACCAAGTGCTGGTGAGTCAGCGAGAGCATCTCACTCGTCCTCAGCATGGCGTTGAAGCCAAGGGCGAGCAGCAGCGCAAATTCATGAAACCCTTGCGCATGAGCCAAGCCCATCATGGCCTCCACTAGCTCCCAATGAGCCGGCAGCGCCCGTGAAGGAACATAGCAGCGCTGCCAGTTTCGAAAGTACTGACTTGCAATCGGCAACTCCAGACGCAAGGCTGGGTGAAACCGCTTCAGTGCCGACAAGAGGTGACCCGAGTAGCTCATTGGCTCTCCCTCTTGGTAAGAAAGATCAATGAATTCAGCAACCTGCTGGTCCAACTTCCAGGGCTTGGAAATGCTAAGCCGCTTGCGTTGAACGTGTTTGAGGAATCGATCCAAAGCAGTTCGGTAGGCTCGAAGAGTCCGCGGGTGCAGGCCTGCGTACTGCAGGCTTCGTTTGCTACGTTTCATGGGCTCGACTGGCCTTGTCCGCAAAGTTCCACCGACTGATGGTCCAAAGCGGAAACATGTAGTTGTCCATCGCCAACATGTAGGCACTGCACCGACGAGCCACTTTATTGAGCCTTCGAGAACTGCTTCTTCCTTTTGCCAGCACCCCACGGGACACCATCGAATCCAGCACATGAAAGAACCGAAGGTGTTGCTTGGCCCGGGTCCTGGCCCTCCTCTTCAAGAAAACAGCGACTGCCAGAAGCTCCAATTCATTGATATGGGCTTCCTGGCGCCATGCATAGGACATAACTGTCCTCCATTGCCACCTGGTGGTCAAATAAGGTTGCTCATGCATCTGACCGTCCACTTCCAAGAACGACCTCACATCGGAGCCACGATACGTGGCATGCCTCAAGAGAGAGGACAAATGCTCTTTCTCTCGCACTTTGACCATGTAGATCTCCTTCAAAGCCAAACTCTCAGCCATGGGGCCCGCCACGTCGGCATCAGCCAGACGGTTAGTTGCAAGGGCCATCTCCTCCAGAAAGTGGGCTTCACGTGCCTCCGCTACAGCCGCTTCAAACTGACCATCTGCTTCGATCTGCTCCCTCACGGCTCGAGCGTAGGCCACACACATCTCCCATGGATACTCTGCTTCTTCCTCGGTGTCAAACCGCAAAGTCCCATCTGGAAGCTCCTCAACTTCATAAGAACGCAAGCCCGGGTGCCCGGGACAGTCCATGGACAGGTGCCGCTGCAAGGAGGGGAGGTCACTGAGGATTGCGAACCACTTTACCCTCTCCCCTCCAAAGCAACAATGCGAGGCGATTGAGTACTTCATCTCGGGCCAGGCCTCCATCTCCTTCACCAGGCGGAATTCCCACATCCAAGAGCGCCGAGGATGCTCGCAGGACCAGTAGACCTTGCTACCCCGCCGATCTTCATGCCCCCTCTTCAACGCCTTGAGCACCATTTGGTTAGAACGGCGGACTCTTGCTTTCATATCCGCCTTTAACCACGGATAGCCCATGACGTGATGAGCGTCTCGGACCGGCTGTGGCCCCTGTACTCGGCGGCCATCCCTTAATGTAATAGGCCGTCCTCGGGCTCTGCTGAAGAGCTTGCACTCAGGCGCCCAATGCTCCACAGCTAAGCAAGGGTCATCCATGAGATCGGCCAACGACTGCTTCCCTTCAGGTGTGAAGAAGTTGTCACCAAAAAACCAGTCGTAAGGTGGTTGGACTTCAACCTTGCCCACCATGGCCACTGCGTGACTCAACGGTGCTCGCCTGCCAGCGAACCTCTCTCCGAACTTGGGGATTCTCCAAGTACTCCGGGGACAGACCTCGCCTTCCCGGTGCGTCAACACACACGAGAGTGAGCACAGCGTGGCCCCACACACCGCTGGACACGGGTAACGGTCATGTCCCGGAATGTCTTTGCCGCATTGAGCACAAACCGCTGGGTCCCTCTCGATAGTGCACGGCTCAGCTTGGAACTCAACAGCCGTGGCGGCCCCACCACCTGTTGGTGATGCATCTGTGACTGACACTTCTGGGTCTATTCGGGCCTTCAAATACGTGTACATGAGCGGTGGCAGAAGCACCATCATGGCCACTTCATCCCAACTCTCCTGTCGGGGCACCTCCCTGTCACTCAACCGGGCTCTCTCACTGATCTCCTCGAACACACTCTCGAGGATGGAGAAGAGGGGCCTCCTGAAGCAGCATCCAACCATAAGAATCCTTTAAGATAAAATGTGTGAAAATCATAAATTTTATGAAAACAAATAAATTTTAAAAAATGACAAATTTTATTTTTCTGATAATAAAAATTTATTATTTTGGAAATAAAAGTTTTATTTCTTGATAATAAAATTTTATTTTCAAAAAAATAAAATAAAATATATTTCCAATAATAAAGCTTGTTTGGAATAATAAACTAATCTTGCGAGTGTATACACGACCACCACCACCAACGCCACCAACAACAACATTGCCAGTGGGTTCGTGAGCTTCCTCACTTTCGACAGGACATCGTGGCATATTGCCACACTGCTTGCGATGGCCTAGCTGAGCCGTGCATAGATCTCTCCAAACTGTCAAGAAAAGCTAGTATACTACATTTCCAACGCGCTCAGAATCTCTCTCAAACTCTCACGCGCAACTCTCTCAAAACCCGCAATTAAGTCTCTCAAACCTAGCTTATGCGCAAGTCTCGAACAGGCCTGGTGGCGCCTTTGGCGCAGCAGGAGGTGGTGCAGCTGCTTCGGGTTTCTTGAAATGTCTGCGTTGAAAGTTTGAGGGTTTCAAGAGTTTTGAGAGTTTCTGGTTCTGGAATTTTTTGGGATTGAAAGTTTGAGGGTTCTGAATGGAGAGTTTTAGTTTTGGGATTGAGAGTAATTATTTGAGGGGCTGACTGGCTCCTGAAAAGGATGAGGATTCACCCTGTCAAACGAAGGTTCAGTCTCTCAAAACACTCAGACTTAACTCTCCAAACAAATCGAACAACGTCTTCCTATTGACAACCTTGCTAGTAGGGGTTCGTTGAAATTTCCTCAAAATTTAAACCCCGAAAGCTCAAAAAACCAGAAACTCAAAAAACTCCTAAGCGAAAGTCAGTGGGCACCTCCTCCAACACTTGCTCCAGACCATATGACCATATA